CCCAATTCATTTTCAGACTATGGAAAGCCTTCTTCAGTTTCCTAGGTGTGACCATCAGCCTCTCGTCTCGCTATCATCCACAAACCTACGGCCAGACGGAGAGGAAGATTCAAGAAGTTGGATGGTTCCTCAGGACCTTCTGTCACGGTCACCAAAATTTCTGGAACCAGTTTCTGGGCTGGGCAGAATACGCCCAGAATTCACTGCGGCAACCTACCACTGGACTCACGCCATTCCAGTGTATTCTGGGATTCCAACCTCCACTTTTTCAGGGATGGTGAACCATCTGATGTACCCGCAGTGGATCACTGGTTTCATGAGAGCTCGAGGGTCTGGGACAAGGCTCATCACCATCTCCAGAGGGCAGTTCGCAGAGCCAAGGAGGTGTCAGACAGGAGGAGGATTGCAGGTCCCGTCTACAATCCTGGGCAGAAGGTTTGGCTCTCAGCTTGCGACTGCCCTCCAAAAAACTTAGTCCCAGATTTGTTGGTCCCTTCACCATCCTGGAACAGGTCAACCCCGTCACCTACAAACTACAACTACCATCCCAGTACAGAATCCACCCCACATTTCACGATTCACTCCTTAAACCCTATCACGAGCCTCTAATTCCCTCCACAGAGCCTGGCCACGAAGAGGAACCCCCTCCCCCACTGAGGCTGGAAGAAGGCTCCATTTATATCGTCAAGGACATTCTACGGTCCCGGCGTCGTGGTGGTCAGCTAGAATACTTCGTTGACTGGGAGGGATATGGACCAGAGGAGAGATTGTGGGTCTCCAGATCAGATATCTTAGATCCGGCACTTATGGAAGAGTTCCACTCTAATCACCCCGAGTTCCCGGCACCTCGTGGAAGAAGTAGACCACCATGGCATCTGAGGTTTAGGCCCTTAGGAGAGGGGTAATGTCACGGATTGGCCAGGCTCTTCCACCAATTTCACACAGCGTCGATCATCACCTGAGTTTTAATTATGCACAACTGCACCCTATCACCTTGGCACACAATAAAAGCACACCTCACACCACTCTTTGTCCGGGCTCGTTCCTACAAAGCGGACTCATAGCGGATACTCTCCACGAATTCACTATCATTTATTTGCCATTCTGATACTTACCTGATCTCTGTTTGTTTCCAGTCCGTCCAGTCTTCCCCGTATCCAGTCAGAGGTGTGTGCGTCTTCTTTCTGTCTTCCCCGCAAGTCATCTGGTGTGTGCATTCGGTCTTCCTCGTTGCCTATCATCCATCCTGCAAAGGATAGGGACAATAATATCATTCCAGACTTCATTCACATAACCCTTGTTATCCTTCTGTTGCTCCGCTGTTAAAATCAACATTTAATACTACTACTCACCCTGTTTGTCTGTCTGCTTCCATAACAGTAACTTTGTCAGACCCCCTAGATTTTTATGATTTTTTTGTGATTTTTTTTTCTTGCAATAAAAATGACAGATTTTGTGGTGGTAATTCCCAGAAATTTGTGGACAATTTTGCGATTAAAAAAATGTAAATATATAAAATTATTATTTGGTCTCTTGTCTTAAAAATATCTAAAACGGTAGGGCCAAAGGAAGGTTGTATAACTTCTAATTTTATTTGTGACCTTACTCTCTCAGAGTTCACTCCCCGAAGCATCTGACATCAAGTACACTCAGGAAATGCGTTAGTGTTTCCCCTACCGCAATACACCTAAAACATGGATTGCCGTAAAACTCGCCAATGGCAGGAAAGCGTTTTCTCTTGTTAAGTGCAGGGAAAGAGTTAAACGAAATCATTTATTGATTTTACGCACATCATTAATACCTGCCATAAGTGTAAAGCACAAATAATGTCCTTCAATTCTGTCACGTTCAGTGGCCACTATCCTTGAACCAATTTCAATATTGAGTACATTTACATGGACACTAATAATTAGATTGTATTGCAATTAAGAAATACTCTGATAAAGATTTGACCATGTAAACATCGTTTTTTGATTATTTTAATTAAATTAAGCTCACATTCAAACTAAACAAAAATGAAATTAGGACATGTGGAGTATGCCAATTTTAGTGGCATAATTGGAGTGCAGTACTGACATGTAAACACCGCATTCAAACTATTACCATCATGTAGGTTTTTTTAATTGCATTTTGCAACAGGATATTCCATACACACACAGCTGTTTGACACTGCACCTTCTGCAACAGTGAAGGAACACAGACACCTGAATGAATTTGTCATATTCTACTAAATCGACACTCCTCCACCAGTGCTGCATCCAATACCTCAGTTTGTCATGCAATAGCGTTGGGTCGGTCTTGAACGTTTTTTTAATTTTGAACAAATCTTTTATGTGACTCAAGAACGATGAGTCCTGTTTGGGAGTGATTTGTTCATTCACGCAATTGCACATTAGTGCAGGTGGAGTAGAAGATAAGTTGAGTTTTCACGTCCTATAATGGGTTTGAGTTGTTTCTTCTTTACATGAGAGACAGAAGCCAGTCATATGCATTTAGAGCAGGAAAAAGATTTAATCCGTTAATTTCTCGAGTCTTCGATTTTGAGTCATCTCTTTACATACTGCCACGTTATGAACAAACAACTCAAAAACCCAAAGACTCGAAAGGTGAACTAATCATGGGTGCTTCCGGCTCAGACTGTAAGCATTAGTTAAACTTTTCATTATTATTTTTATTTACAATTAAAAAATAAAAAAGAGACCAGAGAAGAAATTATATAAGGTTGAACATTGAAAGCCATTTTTATTTTTAGTTTATTTTTATTATTTAAGCTTATATGGGACTGTCAGTGTCAGGTGAATGAACAACTCAAATGTGAAGACATGCCAGAAGAGGTGAGCAGAACTAATCATAAATAAAACAACAGGTCAAAAATGAATCATTATTTTCTCTTTCTTAGTAGTATTGCATTTACATGTAAATCACTCATGCTTTATCTGCGTCTGCTTACTGCACAGGCTGCAAAACAATTCTGCGCATTTACATGTAATGTAATGATTGTGAGAGCGCAGGTGAGACATCATTTATAAGGAGACACTCAAATGCATCACAGGCATTGGTATGCAACGTTGAAAAGTAACATAAAACAATTCTCAAACTCAAATAAATATAATTTGATTGTATGGTTAAGAGTTTGATGTTTTATGAGATTATTTACATTTTTTGCGATTATTTTGCGTTAAAGATTTTTGCAGGATTGCAAACATTTGCAGATTTTTGTTGATTTTGCATTGGATTAAGTGATTGTGGAATCCCAAAAAACTAGGGGGTCTGCTTAGTCTTGTGAATACTTAATTTTATGTTTGGCATGCAACCAGCATAAGACAAATGCTTGTGCTGACTGAGATCACACAACACATTGAGGATACAGAAAAATCACAATCTGATCACAATTGCTGAGAAATAGGCAAAATAATATGTAGTTACATAAAGATTACATTATTATGGCCATATTTAAATATTTTTACCTTTGTTGTTGAATCTGGAGTGCACGTCATTGCACATATGCAGGTAACAGATGTGCGTAAGTAATGGTCTTAAGACGCCAGTGGTGTAGTGGTTAGTGCATCGATGCATGCACTCTGGTGTTCCCGGGAACTCGAGTTCCATTCCCACCTCACGGTCCTATGCTAATCCTTCTCCTCTCTCTGCTCCCCATGTTTTCATGGCAATACTTTCTATCTATCAATTAATGGTAAAAACCCAGATAAAATATTTATATATACATAATATAACTATTATATAATGTGTATTTTATTAAAGGTGCAGTAGGTGATTGTCTTCAGAAACATGTGTTGTTGTGCTGGTTGAAAGTCTCTTCACAGTCCAATAGTAATGATTTCAGTAAATGATCTAAATGTGTTTATATGTATTTTTATATTCTGGGTAAAGCATAAAAATAAAAAATGTTTATCCAATTAAAAAGAGTCGGACCGACATCTCCCTTAATTCCGATAGGCAGGTCAGACTGTCTATTAGCAAATGTAGATTCCAACTTCTGCGCATCTGTTCACGCAGATCCGCCATTAGCGCGTGCCCGTCTGCATCACAAACGCATGCGCGTGAGCGAGATGTCGAGTCAGAGTCGGAGGCGTTGAAGGACAGCCAAGCTCGGGCCAATTACTGTAAAGCCATGCACGGGTATAATTCGCTCTTAAAGCGGCCGCGCGGTCACGAGACGGACCGGATAAATCAAAAGCTGCATTGAAACTTTTGAAAATCCTGAATCAGTATTGGAGTTACTTTAGCAAGCTGGAGGAAGGACCACACCATGGCTGAAGTATTACTGTTAGACAGGTCATGTTCTGTTTTGAAACTATTTTAGTCAGGCTAAGCTTATGTTAGATTACGTTCTGTTATGAATGACTTCTATGCAAAGACGTGTTGTTCAGCCACTGAAATCTCCCGGTGAAAGATTGATGTGATTATTTTCAGTTTCATAAGGTTCTTTGACAGCATCTATAATGTAGATTTATGTTTAGTTTAACAACAAAACATCAGTAAATAGCGCTATTCCGCCTAACCTGCTTTACTGAGCTGAAGTTGCTTGTATATTCACATTGGGTCATTTTTGAACAATGACAGCCTTCCTATACTGTTTACCGCTAACGTTACTCTGAATATTCTCTCTGAAATAGCATGCAAGTGTGGCAAAGTAATACATGTAAATCCTGCACGGTGCTGGCATTAACTAACTGGCGAATGACATGAACTAGTGGGTTGTCTGTCGGCTATTGTGACTCGGTCCGCGCACTCGCGATATCAGGGGGTGTGGCTTTGAATCACAGTCCCTCCCCGCCATCCAAAGATAATATGCTAAGCTGTTAGCATTTTGGCAGATCACCTACTGCAACTTTAACTATGGCTGGATTGTATATTAAACAAGTTATTGCAAGGGTGTTCTTTCTAAATTGGTTATTTTATGCATCAATTCTGCACTTTTGAATTCGGCACAATATGTAATACTGAATCATTTGTTTTATTGTTGTTTTTCTTTACAGTGGAGATTATCCGCAGAAGAAGCAACAGCATGGAACATCCCGATATAAAGATGTCTAAGGCTGGAGCGATCACTGCATCACGTGAGCAGCTGCGAAATTCAGTTCTTCTTTCCCACAATGGCATTTTAATAAGCTCAGCATACTATTAAATAACATTTGTTTGGCTTGCAGAGATTTTAATACAAAAAACGAACTAGCAAAAACAAAACATTTGTGCTTTGTAAAATACACATTGATGTTTACGGAGGACAGCAATGATAATCATTTTACACATAATCTGAAGAGGTTATTCATCACAGATACTCAAATATTTTAGAAGTTGATGAATTGCTGTGTTGTAAGTCCAGCAGCTCTAATCTCTTCACTCCATAAAAATCTAAAGGTGATTTGTTCTAAAAAGCAAAAAAACTATCACATCAAAATGCTCTCTCAGAGGATTACACTCAAGTATTTAAATGTCAATTTAAAGGGTTAAATTAACAGGCTGAACAAGGTTTTCAAACTTCCTTTTACAACCAAAAATGCACTCTGGAGCTCAACTTTTTAAGATTAAGGGTTTTATTTCCTTTAAAATCCAACCTCTTAATACTTTGCTTATCCCCCCGCCCCCCAATTAAAATTAAGGCGACTCGGTGGCGCAGTTGATAGCATGTTGGCCTCACAGCAAGAAGGTCGCTGGTTTGAGCCTCGGCTGGGTCAGTTGGCATTTCTGTGTGGAGTTTGCATGTTCTGTCCGTGTTGGTGTGGGTTTCCTCGGGGTGCTCCGGTTTCCCCCACAAGTCCAAACACATGCGCTATGGGGGAATTGGGTAGGCTAAATTTTCTATAGTGTATGTGTGAATGAGTGTGTGTGGGTTTTTCCCAGTGATGGATTGCGGCTGGAAGGGCATCCGATGCATAGAGCATGTAGTGGATGGGTTGGCAGTTCATTCTGCTGTGGCGACCCCGGATTGACGAAGGGACTAAGCTGAAAAGACAATAAATGAATGTATGTAATTAAATTAATTTGCTTGACCTGCTTTTTTCATAACACTTTATGTGTTTCAGTGAGTGATCTGAGGATTGTTCTGCTGGGGAAGACCTTGTCAGAAAACTGCAGAGTTGGAGATATGATATTAGTAAATAAAGTGTTTAACAGTGAAGCTTCCTCTGATCAAGTGCAGAGGCATAGAAGAATGCACAAGACTGTTATCAACGTTCCTCATCTGCTCCAGCCACATCTCTCAGATGATCAGATCACACAGACAGTCAGAAAGTGTGTGAGTCTGTCTTATCCAGGACCTCATGTGATTGTTCTGCTCCTCCAACATCAGCAGTGTTCAGCAAAAGATTTAGAGCATGTGGAGAAGGTGCTCAACTATTTCTCTTGCAAGGCTTTTGAACACACCATGGTCTTCACAACAGAAGAAGCAGAACGTGTAGAGCTGAGTAAAGTCAATTACTTTATAAAGGAAATTATTAAAAAATGTTTTAACAAACATTACAAACTCACAAAAAACAGCTCATCTGCTGATCTAAGAGAGAAATTAGAGACATTTGTACAAACAAATGGTAGAAGCTATCTCGAATGTAATGAGTTTGAAGATTCAGCAGATTTAGGAGAATCAATGGAGCAACAAGTCATGAAAGTAGGTGAGTCTGAAAATATTTAATGTTCTCAATTAATGGAGATTAATCAAAAGGGTAAAAAAAATCACACTTTGCAAATTCTAGCAAATCGTCACCTCTAAACTGGAAGCTTTAACAAAAATTTTAAATGCTTGAATGTATAATATTCTGATTATGTGATGTACATGTAACCCCTCCTAGTTCGTATATTTTTTTTTATAATGATCACGCGGAAGCAGTTTACCTGAACAAGTTTACTTTATAGTGTTCTCCGAAAAAAAAAAACAGGGCTTCACACAGACAATAAGTGTACCAGGTCTGGTCATAAAAAAAAATCACTCTCAACAGCTCTTGAACAACAAGTGAACTGACAAAATGGCTGGCTGACTCCATCCATTATACCCCCTTTCTCACCTGTAGGTGTCTATTTTTCCCTATGATGTATTACACAGTTTAACAGTGAACATAGGATTTTGATTTAATTAGAACAGATATTTTTAACAAAAACAAGCATTTTGACACCATTCATACTTAATTCACAGTTTCATTTTTCCCTCCGTTACATACACAAACAAGTTAATGGATTTAATAAATCTGATGAGTGGGACAGCAGAGAAGCTGAGTTAGCCGAGTGATGCAATGTGGTGCAGATTTGACACTTGTTACTGTTCACGTCCCACTTAACACAAAAAATATTCAAAATTTAAAAACATAAATCATGACAAATCACAAAAACCATGAAACTATCTTGATCTTTTCCTGAAGTTCATTTTAATGTACAGAATAACATTTTATGATTTATGTTGTTTAATTTTAGGTTGTAAAGAGTTACCTCTGACTCTTGTGCTGTTTGGAAACTCTGCATCAGTCCAGTTTGGACAGGACAACTTTCTGTTTGGAGAAAAACAGTTATTTTTTAATGCAGCAGAAACTTCAAGGATTGTTCCTCTTCAGAGGAAAATAGCTGAATGCTTTGTTAGTGTGATCAACATGACTGACTTACATGAGACTGAACTGTATCCGGACACAATTAATCAATCCATTGATCATCTAGTGAAGGAAAATGAAATCCATTCATTCATCTTTGTTTTGCGACTGGGCCGGCTGACAGATGCTGATAAAACAGGTCTAGAAAGGCTTCAGAGAGTGTTCGGTGAGGAAGTTCTTCAGTTTGTGCTGATTCTCTTCACTTATGAGGCAGAAGAAGAGCGAGCCTCCATTACAGATGATCTGAAGAAAAACCCAGTTCTGGAGCAACTGCTGGAGAAATGTGGAGGACGATACCACACCTGCAATAAGATGATGAACAACCAGTCAGAGATGAGGGAACTGATGAACAAGGTTGAGCATCTGATTAAGGAGAATCAACAGTGCTACAGTGGAGAAATTTACAAAACTAAAACAAGGCAAAACTACTCAAAGAGTAAAAGTGGTAAACAATTACTGTTAGTTATATATTGTTACTGATTCAGTACAATTTATTAACAAGAGATGTGATTTATACATTGCAACAACCATTATTTCAGCATCAAATGTTGTGTTTGTTTAAACAGATGAACTCACAACCTGCAAAGAGAATTCTGAGCATATAACAAGCATGAAGAAAGACACACATGTGGTATGTGAGGACTTAAGCGTGAGTATAGAATAGTTATACAGAACAAAATAATTACATGATCATTTACATTCACAGGGGATAGCTTCGGTGGAAGAAACAAGGCTGGAACAAGACAAAGGAAAGCAAATGAATGAGAAGATAAAGGATCTCTTTAACAGACTTGATCTTCAAGACAGAAAACCTATACTAGCTGCAGATGTTCTTCAGTTAACTGCACATTCATCACAGTCCCACGAGTCTTGTGATGAGAAGAAACTGGTTCAGATTTTTTTCAATAAACTACTGATGATGAACTATAGTGCAAGATACATCACAGTTCATGAAAGCAATGAACAGTATCACATTCAGCGAAGAGACAATAACTCAAGTGCAGAAATGTGTGATTTTTTTAAAGCAATGGGTTTTTCTAGCAAAGAAATATTTCAATCTGAACTCATTCACCCAATGGATGTTCAGATGGCTGTGTTTCATCATGCTGATGGTTTCCTGAAGCAGCTGATGGTCACTAAACTGTCCCAGTGTCAGTTCGCTCTGCCTCTGCTTGTTCCTGATCCAGAAACTCAACAGATTGAGTTTCCTCTCTGGACATTCAGACAAATCAACAAGAGCTGGAAGATCAGAAACACCAACAATGAAACCATCAGTCAAACCCAGCCCATCTACAAGGCACAAACTCCAATGGTGTTTTTCTTCAGGTTTGGCTCTGTGTCTTCATCCAAGTCTCAGCTGATGAACAGTCTGATCAATGACAAACACAACACGTTCTTCCACAGGAACTGCCCAGGCAGCAGCAGATCCAGAGTCCTGATGGATGGAGTGGTGGAGATCGCCTGGTTCTGCCCTTCTGGGAGAAACACAGATACATTTACTGACTGTGTGGCCTTCTGTAATCTACATGGAGATGCAGGAGACCACGAGAAACAGTGGAGGATTCTCACTGAGATGGCCTCAGTCAATGTGCTTCTTCTGCAACAAATAGACAGAAATGTCAGACATGCAGAAAAGATCCAAAACCTCTACAAGGACTCAAAACCACTTATTTGTCTTTTTTCTGAAGATGAATCTGCTGTAACTGAGCATAAAAAAGGGAAATACAAAATTGGTATGAAAGGCAGAAGTCAGTCAGATGTCTCTATAGATCTCAGAAGAGCAATAAATCATTGTCTCTCAGAATCATCCTCCACTTTCAGACTTGAAGATGTGTCCAAACACTTAGACATCAGAGTAGATGAGGAAGATGATGAAGACTGCAGGAGAGGAAGAGCAGCAGCACAGCGGATGATCAGTTTACTGGAGAAGAAAAAACTGACAGAAATCAAAGAATCATTTCTGCCTCATCAGGGGAAACTGTGGCATCAGTGGAGTCAGAAGAACAAAGAGCTACATCGACTCCGAGGAGATGAGATAGAAACCAAAATCAGTAGAAAACAAACAGAGATGATGAAAATTCGTGAAGAGCAGCATGAATCTGAAATGAATTCTTTGATACAGTTGTTTCTTAAACAAATATCAGATGCTACAAATAAGACATATTTTCTAAAATGGCTGGAAATCATCTTGAATGAATGCACTTTAAGTGAGAAAACTCACAAAGACAAACAAGCTGAACTTGAGAGAATATCTGAGGATCTTCAAGCTGCAGCCTTTGGTCTGGAGCACATCATGAGGGAGATCGGTCAGATCTATGAATCATGTTCATCTGTGAAGGAGAACAAGAAAGATCTGCCGGTTCACTTCTCTTCTCTCCCGAGTCTCGCAGCAGAGATGATGATCTCTGGGTTTCCACTGGAGCTGATGGATGGAGATGCTGCTCATGTTCCTCTGGTCTGGATCTCTGCTGTTCTTGATCAACTGGTCCAGAAACTGGGAGACCAGACCAGAGTCTTTGTGCTGTCAGTTTTAGGGCTTCAGAGCTCTGGGAAATCCACCATGCTGAACGCCATGTTTGGACTCCAGTTTGCCGTCAGTGCTGGCAGGTGCACCAGAGGAGCTTTCATGCAGCTGGTCAAAGTGTCTGAGGAGATGAAAACACAACAAAAGCTTAAGTTTGACTATTTAATGGTTGTTGATACTGAGGGTCTTCGTGCTCTAGAACTGGATGGAAGATCAGCAAGACGCCATGATAATGAATTGGCCACATTTGTTGTTGGTCTTGGAAATCTGACATTAATCAACATCTTCGGAGAAAACCCATCTGAGATGCAGGACGTTCTTCAGATTGTGGTGCAGGCCTTCATGAGGATGAAGAAGGTGAAACTGGATCCCATCTGTTTGTTTGTTCATCAGAATGTTTCAGATGTCACAGCTGGAGAGAAAAATGAGGAAGGAAGGAGACGACTGCAGAAAACTCTCAATGAGATGACAAAACATGCTGCAGAAGAGGAGGTTTATGATGCTGAACATTTCAGTGACGTAATTAGATTTGATATAGAGAAAGATGTGAAGTATTTTGCTCAGCTCTGGGAGGGCAGTCCACCAATGGCTCCACCAAACCCAAACTACTGTGAGAATATTCAAGAACTAAAAGATACAATTATAACTCATGCATCAAAATCAGATGGAATGGTTCTAACACATTTTAAGGATCGCATCAATGATCTTTGGAAGGCTTTACTGAATGAACAGTTTGTCTTCAGCTTCAGGAATTCGCTGGAGATTTCAGCCTACAGAAAACTGGAGACTGAATACAGCAAGTGGTCCTGGAGTCTCCGCAGTGCCATGATGGAAATTGAGAACAAACTACAGAACAAAATAGAAAATGAAGCAATTCATGAGGTTGTGGAAACTGATCTTGAAAGGGAACTGAAGGAGACAAGTGAAGAAGTGGAAAAATCAATGACAGAATATTTTGACAGAGACCCAGATGCAGATATACTGATTCAGTGGAAAATGACATTTGAAATCAAAATCAAAGATGTTCAAGAAAATATTGTGAAAGAAACAAAGAGGAAATTAAATTACATTCATCAGCAACAAGACATGAAGAAAGAGATTGATGCTCAGAGGACACATCATGAAAACACTCTTCTTGAAATGAGTAACAAATATGCATTAAAACTTAAAGAAAAAACAAATGATGAGGAAACACTGAAGAAAGAGTTTGATTTGTTCTGGAAACAATACGTGAAAACAATCATTAGAGATACTCCTCCAATCAAAGACATTGATATAATGAGAGATGTAAGAAACATCCTTAGAGACATTTATGAAAGTACTCCTGTAGATCATTGGAGGGAGAGCAGTGACATGTTCACCATTCCAGATTATTCTCAGCATGTTATTTTAAAAAAGGAGTTCAAAGAATCTTCATATAATTTATCCGATACTCAAACATTTTCTTCGAGAGGCAAAATAAAATCCTTTGTCGAAGATGTTGCCCAGCACACAGACAAAATTATTCAGTCATTTAACATTTCAAGGATTGGCTACAACAACAGCGTCATTCAACAACTCATAGATTACATCAAGACAAGACTAACAGAACATGAGAAAGGACCAGCTGAATATGTGTTCAAGAAAGAATTCTTTGTGGATTTAGTTGATTCCATCTGTAAAAGAGCAAACAAGATGATCACTGACCAACAAAGTCTGTTTAAAGAAGCCAATGATCCTCAAATATATGTTCAGAAGAAGAGAGAGGAGTACTATAGCATTTTCCAAAAACACTGTCATGGAGCAAATTCAGCTGTTATTTTTGGTGAGATCTTCTGTCAGAAACTGAAGGAGCCCATTGAGCAGAGCGTCTACAAGAAAACTGCCAGAGATTTAGCAGATGAAATCATGAAAAACTGTAAATCACTGAATGGAAACAGATCAAATCTGGAGAAACACATCCTGAAGACACTGGCAGAGGAGGAGGACTTTGACAAATACATGAACTACATTCACAATCCCAGGGGCCACTTTGAGAGTTTCATCAGAGATGAAGTCAGTCGCTACATCAGAGATAAGTTCAGCATCAGTGTTTTACCCAAGATGAAGGAGAACATTAAACTCCTGCAGCAGAAGATCATGAACGCAGCACATCAATCTACTGAACATGTTCAAGTCAACAGTGGAGATGTTGGTTTGTGGTTGAAGAGTTTCACACAGCAGCTCTCAGATCAGCTGATCTTCTCTGAAAAACACCTCAGTGGAGTCAAACATGATGATGTTGATGTAAACCTCTTAGATGTGGTAAACAAAGAGCTCCCTACGATAATGTCAGACATCAGCAAACGATTCAGCTCTAAAACCTTTCCAGTGAATCTGGACAATAAAGATAGACCAGATGAGCTTCTGATTGATCACTTCTGTCAGTGCTGTTGGGTTCAGTGTCCGTTCTGTGGAGCCACCTGCACAAACACCATAGAAAACCATCCTGGCGATCACAGTGTTTCCTTTCATCTTAACATTTCACTAAACGGGATACATTATCACAATACAACAATCTTGTCTCCTCTTATCTGTACATCAGCAGTAGGCAAAAGCAATCTGTATTTCTATCCAGTTTTATCAAACGATAAAATCCCCTGGGAAGACTACAGAAGAGCAGGAGGAGTTTTTGCAGACTGGAGCATCACTCCTGATTTGTCTGAACTGCCCTACTGGAAGTGGTTTGTGTGCCGATTCCAGAAAGATCTGGAGAAAAAGTATGAAAAAACATTCGAAGGGAGTGGTAAGATTCCAGATGAGTGGAGAAAATACACAAAGCAGGATGCTACTGACGGTTTGGACAAATACATTTGAAATATCACAAATTCAAGGACCAGAAGTTTACATTTTAGACAATTCTGAAATCAGCTAAACTTCACTCTACTGAATGGATCAGACATTGAAGAAATGAAAAGCTTCCCAATATGCTAATCTGATTCAAGAGATTCTTACTATTGATACATTTGTAGTTACCTATATATTTTGGATTAACACTTACAGGTCTTCTATTTTACCCCTTTTACAAGATGTAAGATAAGTCTTTGGTGTCTCCAGAATGTGTGTGTAAAGTTTCAGCTTGAAATATCCAACAGATCATTTATTATACCCTGCTGAATTTAGGAATTTTAGAGTAAAATTGCATTGAAACTGCTGCCTGTGTCTTTAAATTCAAATGAGCTGGTTCTCCCCACCTCTCACCTTTCTCCTATATGTATCTGCTACTACTATGTCAGGTCACACAAAACAGTCGCGAATGAAGCAGATATTCAGGTCACCAAGTAAGTTCAATTAATGTATTTGTTGTGGAGTTTATTAAAACCTTTCTTCAATGATGAGTCACACAAGTGCCATTGCAAAGTTCGCAGTATGCACACACAGACATGTATCTTTGCACCATTAGTGCATGTCTAATTGAGACAAATATGACAGGATACAAGTTAATAAATACTGTTATTTACACTGCTATATCCATTATACTACTGTACAAAATAAACCAGATTTAACTTCCACAAACCGGGACTTCGGTTGTTTGTCTTCTGTCACAGCTGTAGTGAATCCAGTGGTTTACGTTAAAAATTACCAAGTAATTTTACTGTCTTTTCTTTATTACAAATATGCACTGATTTAAAAACATTTTAAACAAAGGGTTGAACAGATCTTTTAATCCCAGTTGCTTTGCACAAGTCCTGTCTTGTGAATAGGTTCATACAAGTTACTATTGAGATATGTTCATATGTGTCTATCAATCAATTTGGTGGGTGGGGAAACCACATTCCTACATCACATTGTAGTTAGCCTCAAAGTTGCAGGGATTAGAATCCTATTTGAATTTCAGGAAATTTAGAAAAATAGATTTAAAGAGCACCTATGATGAAAATCGTATTGGGGTGATTTAAAGACAATAAGTATTTTTTTAAAGGATTCAAGTCCCTCCCATTTTGAGGCCCACCGCAATTTGACATAGGGGTGTGGTTTCCCTGCCCACCAAATTTATTGACAGCTGCGTATTAACATGTCTCCGTAATAACGAGTATGATCAAATCAACAAAACAGGATGCGTGCAAAGCAACTGGGATTTAAAAATCTGTTCAGCTCTCTGTGATCATCAATCATCATCAAATGTGATCAAGAATGAGTTTTACAAGTTTAAAACGAGTTTAAAACTGCATGTTTGTAATGAATTACAGCGATTTACCTCAACTTTACTCATAACCTGTTACACCCTCTGCTTGTTCCTGCTCCACCAATCACCGCTCTCCCTCACAAACCACCTCTCTCCAATCCCATGAACCATCACCAGCCTTCTAATTACCTGCACCTGTTCCCCCTTATCAAGGACACTATAAATACCTACCTCATTCTTTTACTCATCAGCCGGTATTGAAGTCGGATGGTTGTCTTGATCTTCGTCTTCTCTTCTTCCATGGATGTTCCTTATGTGCCTTCGGATCCTTTATCCACTGATCAAGGGAAGTAATTACTCTTATATGTTGTTTACGTAAAGATCTACCTTTACCTGATGAACTGTTTGTCTGTTTACTCAACTTCTGATGTTACCAAGAACAAATTGTGAGTGAGTTTGCTAACATCAGTTGTTTACCTTATGAGCTGTTAAAGAAGATCGCTAACAGACGTAACACCACTCTCCTGCTTCCTCACTTAGATTCAGTGCCTTGTTTTGAATAATACTCATAAAAGATAACCATCTTTGTCTCTCGTCTATCAGCGTGACGGAATACCGGCCCTGAAGAAAAACAACACGGTCATGGAAGCTAACGCCGTGCTAAGTGGAAGCGCTCCGGACCCATTTGCTGGTATGGTCCATATTGGGTTGTGGCTGGAAAAGCATCTGCTGCAAAAAAACATGCTGAAATAGTTGGCAGTTCATTCCGCTGTGGCAACTCCTAATAAATAAGGGACTAAGGCAAAGGAAAATAAATGAATGATAGTGTATATTTTAGAACTCAACAAATATCTTTATTGACAGTATACAGAAATTAAATTGAGATTAAAGTTTGTATTTATTTATTTAATATATATGGCTTTTGTGTTTTATAAAATAGGAGGTAGTGGGCCACTCTAGCCCAATATGCCAGGGCCGATTTCTTTTTTTTTTTTTCCCCAGTCCAGCCCTGCTCACCATCCATAAATATACGCTGCAGTTCAGACTACTCACTGCCAGTAGTGGGTGGAATCAAGTCGCCCTCCTAGCAGCTTACCGAAAGGGACTAAAACCTCAGATTCGTAAACAACTGGTCATTTATGATGATAATGCCATTTAAGTAACCTTCATAAAAAAGACTATCAGCGTATCGCAACATCCATCTGCCTGGTCATTTCCCACATCTTTTAACCCAATGTTACCCCCCAGTGTTCCATTACCACCGCCGGTAGCCGAAGAGCCTATGATCATGGATTCATACCATTTATAATCCTCCAAATGTCAACAGCGGATACGCAACCAGCTCTGCCTGTACTGTTTGGAATCCACTCACTTCATCTCAGCCTGCCCAGTTCATCTGCCTTGCCTAATTGTGAGTAAGGTTACGCTCACACCCTCTGTATCTCATATGCCACATATGCAAGCAGAATTGTGAACTCCCGCACAAAAGGATATGTCCCCTTTCCCATCCTGAGCAAGAGGCGTTGAATTCTTACATTGATGAGGCTCTCCATCAAGGGTTCATCAGACCATCCACCTCTCCATCTGCATCCAGCTTCTTCTTTGTGTATATTAAGAACAGAGGATTAAGGTCCATTTTTGATTGTTGAGTGCTGAACACTGACATTGTGAAGTTTGCTTACCTGCTACCACTGGTTCCTGCTTCTCTGAAGAAGCTCAGAAAAACATGTATCTTCAGTAAGCTCAATTATCGCATCGCCTAGAATTTGATTCGTATCCTCCGGCCATTATGAATATCAGGTCATGCTCTATGGCCTAGCAAACAGTCTTTCCATTTCCAGAATTAATGAATGAAATCTTCAGAGACTTCCTCCATTGTTTCACGATAGTCTATATCGATGATATCCTGATCTATTCCCGTAACTTAAAAGAACATCAGTCTCATGTACAGGTCTTTTATTGTCTCCGAGAAAATCAACTCTTCCTCAAAGCCGAAAAGTGTGAATTCCATAAAACCAACATCTCCTTCCTCAGATACTTGATCACTGCCGAAGGGGTCAGTCTGGAACAAGGCAAAGTGGACGCCGTCTCTCAGTGGGAAACACAGAAGACCATCAAAGGGCTACAACGATTTCTGGGCTTCGCCAACTTCTGTAGACGGTTCATAAAGAACTACAGCATCCTTTCCGCTCCTTTGACTTTGCTTCTAAAAGGCGGACAATGTATTCTCACCCGGACCCCTGAAGTGCATCATGCTTTTGCCAAACTGAAGACCATTTTCACCACAGCACCCATTCTTCGTCATCCGGACCCTTCAATGCCTTTCACGGTCAAAGTAGATGCAGCTGGTGCCGGAGTAGGCGCCATACTCTCCTAATGGTCTGGTGAACCCAAAGTTCTTCATTCGTGTGTGTACTATTTAACGAGACGAGGGATAAAACATGAGCAGTCAAACAGGTCTGGTTTAACAACCCGGAGGGTGGTTTATTCACAGTGCAAGGTAATGAGGTGAGGGAAGGGTAGCTGTGCAGGTATGCGTCCTTTGGCTGGGTGTTGTGGAAAATCCTCTGGGCTGATGAAAATTTGGATAGGTGAAAGCAATCTTAGGTGGCGGTCTAGCCACTGCTATCTGCTGGGGAAAACAGAGAAAGAAGCATTAGCGTGTCTTCCTTGGAGTGATCAAGCCCTGTCTGTGTCTTCTCTTTCTCTGTTTATATGCTCCAGTCCTAATGCGCTGCAGGTGGCGATCGGTGCTGATGAGGTAACAGGTGTTGGTAGTTTGTACTTGTGGCGACGCTGCATTGGACCACTCGCCACAACTACTACATGGAATTAACACCTGCGAACAAAATTATGACATCGGGGACCACAAGCTTTTGGCCATCAAGCTTGCACTTGAGGAATGGCGACATTGGCTTGAAGGAGCTCAATGTCCTTTCATTGTTATCACGGACCATAAAAATCTCCAGTATCTTCGAGATGTTAAACACCTCAATGCCCGTCAAGCTCGCTGGTCCTTATTCTTCGCATAATTCCACTTTAATATCACCTATCAGCCTGACCACAAGAATGTAATAGCTGAATTTCTCTCTCGGATGTACTCGCCTGATCATAACCATGATTCTCCTGAACATATCCTATCACCTTCTGTCTTTATCGCTCCCATTATGTGACAACTGGATGCAGATATCCACTCAGCCACAATAGAGGAGCCAGCTCCCCCTGAACTCCCTCAAGGCCTCCTCTATGTGCCTACCAGGTATCGTAATCTGCTCCTGGATAGTACGCACACATCCCTTGGCTCAGGACATCCTGGCAGCAGCATCCCTCTCGCTCCTCACACAGAAGTATTGGTAGCCCAAAATGACCCATGATGTCCCCCAGTATGTTAAGGGTTGCTCGGTCTGTGCCATCACAACGACACATCGCCACCTGCCTGAAGGTAAACGGCAACCATTGCCCGCTGACCCTGAACTCACTTAGAAATTGACTTTGCCACCAATCTGCCTCCATCACAAGGGTATATCACCAGTCTTGTAGTAGTTGGTCGATTTTCAAAGTAATGCAAACTAATCCCTCTAAAAAAAACTCCCTACAGCTCTGGAAACAGCAAAAGCGGTTTTCTAACATGTCTTCTGGAATTATGGGCTCCCAGAGGATATTGTATCGGATAGAGGACCGGAGTTCATTTTCAGGGTCTGGTGGGTGTTCTTCTGGTTACCACCCGCAGACAAACGGACAGACCAAGTGTAAAATCCAGGAGATTTTACTGTACCTCTGATTGTACTGCAACAGTCACCAGAACACCTGGAGCAAGTATCTACCATGGGCTGAGTATGGACAAAATTCCCTTCGTCAAACCTCTACTGGCCTAACCCCCTTCCAATGTGTCCTAGGTTATCAGCCATCCTTGTTTTCCTGGACAGGGGAAACTTCGGAAGTGCCCGCAGTGGATTAATGGTTCCAAGAGAGCGAGAGGTTATGGGACTTAGAGCATATCCATCTTCATGGGGCAGTGAGGAAGTATACCACCAACGCAGATCGTCACCGCCTACCGAATCCTACCTACCAATCAGGGGATAAGGTATGGCTTTCCACCAGAGACATCTGCCTCCACTAAAGTTGAGTCCCCGCTACCTTGGACCATTCACCGTACACTCACAGATCAACCCCGTCACTTATGATCTCAACCTACCACCACACTACAAAATATCACCATCTTTGCCTGTATCACACCTTAAACCCTTCGTCTGTTTGTGTGTGTGTGTGTGTTCGTGCGTAAACTTTGTAATTGTGTGTGACTCATTGTTTCAAAAAGGCTTGAATTAACTCTCCAACAAAAATATTAAATAAGCATTGGGAAAGTTCTTACTGTATTATTTCTCAAAAA